GATCCTAAGACCACCAAAACGGATCCCCTCAACACCTCGGCTGCGCCTAGAAATTCTGTCCATGAAAGTAATGAACAGAATCGGTGACAAAGGGCAGCCTTGGCTGCATGTACAACATGTTAGCATGTACAACGGTCTGGGTTAAAGCAAAATGCCGCCATCGCTGTCTGAGCACTATTTTAATTATAAAGAAACGCGCCCACAAACTTCTGACCAGTCATACAATAATTTTAATGGGGAAGTGGGTGAAAGGTTTGCCTTGGAGGCTTGTGACAAGAAGGGGTGGAAGACACTAAGTTGACAAGTTGAGAACAAAATTACACAATGATCCTGCAACTGCAACAGCGAGAGCGGATTTTGTGGGTTTGATGGACCGTGCAGAGAGCTTAGTCTCTACTGCAACCTACTGTAGCTATATCATGTCTGATGTGACAAAGTTTTCTCACAACTGTTGGCTTGAGACTTAATGTAATTTTCGTCTGTTTTTCTGTCTGCCTCGCATTAACTTGGCAGTCACGAAGTAACAGACACAGGTGTAGTTACTACCATTCAATCCAGTGCTTTAGGTTCAATCCACTCTATGTATCAAACAATACAGATTTTTAACATTTATTTTATCAACTTGTCTTCTGCAGACGCTCTGTGTTGAAGGATCAGTGGATCGGTGTTCGACTACTCCACCTAGGCTGCATTGTGGAGCACAGATCCACTGAGGAACTTGCTGTTTCAGCAACATTTAATTTAAAAAGTGTACTTTTGAGGTTAAACAAATGTTTATAATTACTTTCAATAAATCACAAGCCAAGAACTACATGGACATTTTTCTTTTTTGTGTTGAACAAATATTGAACCGACAGTTGTGTATCGAATTGAACTGAATCGTGAATTTTCTGTATCGCTGCACCCCTAGTAGTTACCAAAGTGACCATAAAGAGCCACTGCAGCAGCTTTATTTTACTGTACACTTCTTATTTTATACATTAATTGTAGGTATTTTTTTCTGTCAGATTTTTGCAAAGCTATATTGGATTTTTGGACATCAGCTGCATCGACATCCTTTAACACTTTCTTTGGAAATGTTCTCATTTTATTTGTAATTAAATGTTTTAACATATCGTAAAGGTTTCTATTTCAGCAGTTTATACAAATACTGTGAAACAGATATGGAATTTTGTTCTTTCAGGCGTTTTGGAATTGAGGTGAAGGACTTTGGGCCCAGCTGGCGAGATGGTGTTGCTTTCCAAGCGGTGGTGCATGCTATCAGACCTGACCTGGTGGACATGGACTTGGTGCGGCGCAGAAACAACAAAGACAATTTAGAAGATGCCTTTGCACTTGCAGAGAACGAGTTGGGCATTCCCCGTCTGCTGGATCCAGAAGGTCTCCTTTTTGTCTTATGTTACTTTTAGTTTTTAGCTACCATTATGCTACATTTAGCTTTCAATTAGCTTATTCAGCCTTTTGCTACTGTCGTGGCAAAGATAGTCAGAAACACGGCGAAAAGGGTGTTTAAAAGACAAGTCTTGCGGGTATGATTTATAAAGTCATTTATTGATGGGCAGACATGAAACAGAAAGCAATCACGAAGTCTGTAAGATGTGGGCCCCCGACTGAGGGCGGAAGAGAACTGTTATACCTTCAGCTATCATCATGTGATAATGAACAACCAATCAGAAAGTGGGTCAACCTGATACAAGGAAATAGGTCAGCTTGATGCTGACGTCCAGGGATATCACAAGATATGAACAAGTGGACAGTGTCAAGGTGATACAGAATAAGTATTCCACAACACTGTAAACTGTACCAATCATCTTAACATCAGTACAAATTATTTCAGGATACAAAAAGTTGGGTAAATAATTTATTTTTTTATCACGAAAGGACTATTCTTCAGCTTCATACATACATACAATGAATAACCTTTATAAC